ACATAAATCGCGCATTTATATTGTTAGACGAATATTTTAATAAAACAATATATTGCCAAAAACCGTATAAAAATAGAACAATTCAAACGTACCTTGATTTTTCTGTTTTAATAATATCTGCAATTGAATTTATAATTCTTTAAATTAAAATATAGAAAGTAAATTGGGTCATTTCGCACGTCATTTAATAATAATAATACTTAATAATAATAATACTTAATAATACCCATGTAAATAAAAATCACCTGATTTGACTTTGTACGGAATCTATAACTGAGGGCAAAACTAGATCCGTTTTGTTGATAATTATTCTATCGGATATTGCTATTTGACTAATTTCTAATAATGTTATTGAAAGGTTATAATGGTATGAAATGCCGAAAGTTTAATGCATACCGAACAGCCTCATTAATCGAACCATCTGCTCTCTTTTCCGATATATACTTTAAATAAATGATAAAATAATGATAAAATAATTAAGATTAGAGAATAAAAAGTATGAGTATATTACTTAAAAGCGATAGTTAAGTGTGATATGGTACTTGTAGGATATATTTTGCGTCAACTAATGTAACGATGCCATCCAAATATATGTCGCTACCTAGATCATCATCCAACCAGAACATCGAAGCAATTGGGCCTTTTGCGTGAGAAAACGTGTCGATATTAAATAATAGTATATAGAAGGAAAAACATTATGACGCGATTATGACGCGATTACTGAAATACCTGGATCAGCAAGACCTGTAGTTTCCAGTAAAATATAATCAAATTTTCCTTTTTTCTGCATAAGATTTTCAATTGCTTTTACACCATTATCTCTAATAAATTTAAGCAATAAAGTCAAGAATTGGACGCAGACAAATGAACAATCATAACTATGCACATACTTGATAGAACAACATAAGCATCCATTTTGTAATTCTAGCCATTCCTCAAATGAATCACCGTCTTGATTTATTGATAAGGATTTTTCAATTCCACTGCCTAAAGTGATATAAATAACAGTGAGCTTTAGAATTGAAATGAAAGAACTATGAAGGAAAACCATACTTTCGCCAAATTCGTTCAAAATAACGGCAATCCTTTTTCCATGTTGATTTGTTAAAATATAATTAAGTAATGTGGTTTTCCCTGAGCCGAGGAAGCCTGTGGTAGCGAATATCCAACGCGTTAAGAATCATTATTATTGTAGAGTTGAATTTAGAAATAATTTATTTACCAGTAATTATGGTTATAGGAACCTTTGAAGTAAAAGCTTTATCGGTATCATTTACCTTTGATTCAGAAGAATCACTATAAAAGAAAAAATTTATCAACTTTACAAAGAAAACCCTTTAAATTGAGAGGATATTATTTTACATTATTTCAGCTATTTCGACCAATTCAGGTATTTCGTCCATTTTAGATTTATGGAAGAGTTGAAGATCGGACGTGGATCGTGGGAATTTATACAAAATTCTTATTGGTACAAGAAATCTTCGATAAATTATATAATTTTTGAAAGTTTAAAAGTTTAATGAAAAATTAATTACTCATGCCTTATCCTACAAGTATTTTAGCAATTGATACGACATTGCTCACGCGGAATGAAGCTCGCAAACTTCGAAGGCTTGAATTGAAAAAGTATCAAGCTTACGAAATTATTGCAAAATTTGAAGGAACGTCGATTGATCAATTGTTTTCAACAGAACCTACGCGATATTTATGCTTGACTAATCTTTGTTTCGGTGGAGTCGGAGGTGTTACAACAGAACAAGTATCAGAAATATTTAACACCTTTGATGGTTTGGCAGGAATACGATTGACCCATGGAAAGGTGATCCTTTTTTTTTTTTTTTTTTTATTGATTTTTTGCTTTCTTTCGGCGTATTTCTAAATACTAAGAAATCCATGTTCTTAACACAGCCATATTCGTTTGCATTATTTAATTCCACAGCCTCTGCTTTACATGCTAGGGAGACTCTTCACAATAAACCATGCGAACTTCTAAATGGTAAAGTTCTCTTTATAGAATTTGTGAATTTGACGTGTCAAAGTTTCATGAAACAAATCAAAGACTCGAATGAAGTAACTATCCCCGGACTGATTTTATTGGAGGAGTTCGTATCAGTTGAATTAGAAAAAAATATATTACAAGATATATATTCAAACACCGCATGGATCCCTGTTCAAGATCGTAGTGTAGTGCGTACATTAATGATATATTCACTTTATTCACATATTTTTTTTTTTTTTTTTTTTAGTTTAACCTATTTCTGACAACTCGAATTTTGTTAGATACATTTTGGTTACTCATTTAATTATGATTCGAATGAAGTTGGTTCGCCATCACTTAAATTTCCACCTTATGTGAATTTACTTCTTGAAAAGTTAAGGAAGTTATACCCTTTTATATCAAATATGGAACAATTGACAGTGCAACATTATCCAATTGGTACTGGAATTCCACCTCATGTAGATAGTCATTCTTCGTTTGGGCCAATTGTTTTAGCATTTAGTCTTGAAAGTCCAGTGATTATGGAATTTAAGAACCTTCAAACTGGAGTCATTGTAAATATAGATTTACCAGAGAGATCTTTAATGATTCTTAAAGACGAGGCACGATATGCTTGGAGTCATGCTATAAGGTTAGAAAATTTTGGTATTGAAATTATCATTGTATTAAACCATTTTGTCTTTTAAAATTTGGATTATATCATATATATTATATAGGGCAAGAAGAAGTGATTTATTAGAGGACGGGCGAGTCAGAGAACGAAATCAACGAGTTTCTTTAACTCTTAGAACAGTCAACCATGAAAGGACTTGCCATTGTAAATGGCCTAATTTATGTGATCGCAACATAGCTCATTTGAAAAAAGATTCTTGACCATTTTATTCGACAAAGTAACATATCGTTTACAATGTTACCATAATT